GCTGTACTTGCTTTTCATTTGTTGTTGCACTTAGTTTCTATCTATCATTGTTGTGAAATTCTCTGAAAGATTTTATATCCGGATTACATAAACTTGAACTGTATAAAACTGATTTGACTTAAACTGCTGGAATTGAAAGCATGTCTACTCTCTAGTGGAATTACTGAAAATGAACTGTAACTGTGTAGCTCGTCACTATCTTCAGTTCCCTGATTATTATTGTTACTTGCTGAGTTGGTTGTACTCATACTATACCCTGTACTTCGTGTGCAGATCCAGTTGTTCCCGACATAGCGAGTGTTGATTCTTTCACACAGTTGATTTTTCGGAGATTCTGAGGTAGCTGCCGTGTTTCGCAGACCTTGCCTCTCCTTCCCTATCTCCTTATTTACTGTATTTGGTCTCACTGTTATGGACCGTATTTTTCCAAACTTGTATTCATATTAGATGCTCATGTACTCAGTGACATAAGGTTTTGGGAGTGTTTATATATGTATTTGTGAGTTTTCTTCCGCTGAATTTAGATATAATGTTTTCAAACTTAAAAGATTTGGTAGTATATTGAGATTGTCGACTTGCCTAGTATTGAGATAGGTGTCATCACGACATGTGAGATTTCGGGTCGTGGCAAAAGTATTTAAGTATTCTGTTTGTAGTAATTATTGGTATCATTTTCTACTGAGTCAAAAACTAAAAAATATTTTATTTTTTACCATAAAATTTGCTATCAACCTTTTATTTAGTTGATTAACATATTTATCTGCTAGTTAAGATAGCTTTTAATTTCTATCATGCAAATTGCGTTTTAATCTAATGATGAAAATATTTCCCTTGTTAAATGCATTACTATTACATTGGGGTTGATAACCAAGTGTTCTAGAATAACCAAATCATCTTTGATTGGATGCTCTTCTTCGTTTCTGTCACGAAGAAAGAAGTCACTGAGTACCGGATCTGCTCTTGTTTTATATTTTTTATCAGTTGAATCTTTTTCATCTGAGGTCATAAGTATAATTTTGGCAAGCTAGCTTTTACGGTCTCTGCTTTCGCCGATTTTGGAACTGCTGGTAGTACTTGACAGAAATCACCTCCTAAACCATTAATTTTTCACCAAACGGTTCATTGATATCCAATATATCTCTAGAACTCTGAGCAATTATTTTGATCATTTGACATTTAGCCATAAACGTTTCATCACATATTATCGATTTTGCTTTCCTTATAAATTTAGCACCATTGCTCTGATTTGATATATTTGTGATGGTTATTTTAGTTGTTTGAAGAGGTATATCAAATCTAAAGTGTGTGGCCTCATAATAAAATTGTTGTTGGTATACCACTTGTTATTATTGCTAACAACATCATGTCTCTTGATTTGACATCTGCAAGTAATGTATGACATAAAAATATTTTTTCGATTCCGCCGGAGGCATCTACAAAGGATAATCCCATTATACCAGTATCGACTCTTTATAATATAGTCTTGAAAGTTTGTTCTTGTTCAGGATTTAGCTTTGATTGTGCTTCCCCATACACTTGTATGGTATTTTGATTCTTAATAGTATGCTAACTTTTTTTTACTTTATATCAAATCTAAAGTGTGTGGCCTCGTAATAAAATTATTGTTGGTACACCACTTGTTACTATTGCTAACAACATCATGCCTCTTGATTTGACATTTGCAAGTAATGCATGACATAAAAATATTTTTCCGATTCCGCCGGAGACATCTACAAAGAATGATCCCACTACCAAAATTGACTCTTTATAATATAGTCTTGAAAACTTGTTCTTGTTCAGGATTTAATTTTGATTGTGCTTCCTCATACACTTGTATGGCATTTTGATTCTTAATAGTATACTAACATTTTTTACTTTGTGTTCTAATTTTTTAAATCTCCAACGCTCTATTTATGGAATAAATTTATGTACCTTAAGATTTTTTTTATCTTGAAAAATAATTTTACTCATATGATGATAAAAAAATAATTGAATTGGATTTTCTTGCTAAATAATTAATTGAAATATTTAATTATTTGGTATTAACATAAAAAAAAATTATTTTATGTTAATTCAGATCTTAATATTAGTTCATCTTTTGTTTTGAATATTTAATCTTAATTATAATTTTATCCACCATAATTTTTATTTTCAAAAAGTAAAAAGATCGATCTGACATTTCACTTTTAGGTCTTTATGTTTGTAGAATCATTAGTGGTATTTTCTTTCTCTTTCTCACATATTTATATTCTTAAATATTTTTTTGTTATTATTTAATAAGTGAGTATATTTTTCAATATTACACGAAAAATTGACAATTATTTTTATTATTTGAGTGGTAATGTATTGTCAATACGGAGGATTCTTATGAAATTGATTTTATTATACCTTCCTACATATTTTTAATGAGAATTTAATAGACAAAATTTTATTAATGTTAAAATATTAAATATTAAAAAAATAAACATAGAAGGTATTGTAGTCCAAAAATAGGTTATTACAGTTATGTCATTTCCATATGAGTTCTTCTGTTTACTATTTTAGGGCTATTTTGGTCTATCAATATTATATTCGTACTTTTATAATAATAATAATAATAATAATAATAATAATAATAATAATAATAATAATAATAATAATAATATAGGCTCTCTTTTTTCTAAATAGATTTAGATAATTTAATACATTCTCAAATTAAATTAGTAATAGGACATTATAATACGTTTTTAAATTAAATTAGTAATAGGAGTTTTTAAGAAGTATATATTAAAAGTTATAGGATTACATGACTAAAAATATGTGTCTATTCCGAAAGTAATTATACTAAAAGGAAATCTAACATGTTCCTAAAGGAATTAGGTTTACATGCTAACATGTAGTATTATATGTCTATGCCCGAAAGTAATTATACTAATAAGACTCCTAAATGTAATCATGTAGGTTTCCTAATGTGTAGTATATGTTCTAAAACTAATAGGATTACAAGGCTAATGTCTAGAATTCCGGTTATGTTCTTTTATTATGAGTTATTATGTTTAATATTATAAGGTTATTTTTATAAACCGACATTATATTCATACTTTTATAATAATATTAGTCTCTATATTCGTGCGATGCACGAAATATCTTACCAAAAATGTTAAACATTCAACTACATATGTACGGCGGTTAATGAAATTTTATCATTAAGACAGTATGAGATACCATGTATAAGGATCGACCCATACATGTGCATGATTCAAATTTTGTACTCGTTGTTGTATCCTGCAATCTTTATTTTAGTTGGATTGAATGATTAACTCAAATCTCTAATCACTTCTCTTCTAATAAGTATGAAGTAAAGCTTTCTATGTTAAAAGAAAAGTAAGCTTTATGTGATAAAATCTAATAATTTCAGTCGTGTTATCTAAAAAGATATAGAAACATGAACTCAAGCAAATTTACACTACAAAAGAGAAATCCGAATTGCTGAAGGAATTCATGGTTCGGGCAAAAACCTAATATTTGAATAGGTAGATAATCATAGAATATCCTTTTAGCCTTGTTAAGTGCGGCACTGGTTTTTGAGCAATGGAAAGTTTAAGTACATCTATTTTATTCCATGAAAAAATATTTTATATGAAAAATAAAATGTGTGATTAAAATAATATAGCTATTTTTTTGTAATATTCATACCCGGAGTCAATCCCAATCTTGCAAAATCTTATAACCAAAGTGCTGACCTACACAAAGACAACATAACATTAATAACCATTTAGAAAAGAACTAAACAAAAGATTAAATAGACAAAACCAAAAGAATAAAACAAAGAAAACCACCTTCAGGTGGTATCTAATACATAAGAAACTAAACACAATCAACATAAAAATTAAAGCAAGAAGGAAATCAAAAATTGCAAATCAATTCTATTTTTCTAAGTTGATCTCGAAAGAGACAAGCACTCCCTTCCATATCTTATTTTTTCCTATTAAAGATAAAAACTGTAAAATAACATAAAACATCAATTCCTTAATATACCTCAATTTCTCCAAAAGAAATAAAAATATTTTTAATTTTGTACTCCAACATTCCAAGAATGTGTGCCGCTTGACGTGGTTGCAAGAACGCCCATGGATCTATCTGCATTATAGAAAAGGCCAACACCAAAAAACTAATAATTAATAGATCAAAGGTAGTCGAAACAATGCTTGATTATCAGCGATGATGCAACCGCCTCTATATCTATATAAATCTGTAAATATAAGAAGGTTGAAAAAATTATTAACTTTCGTGCTGTATAATTTGATGGAATAATATATGTTGATTTCGTCAGATTTCTTAGGGTCCATGTTCTCTTTAATCAGAAGTTGCATAGATGTAGGACATATTCTAATTAAATTATAACTTAGTATTTCCTTACCGTTTTCAAACTACACAATTTCTATCACCAAGTGAATTAATAAGAAAGATTCCTTGGTCTTGTTCAGCCGTGTAAGACAAGGGTTAGTTTGATGTGGCGGTGATTAGCAGTCTACGAATTATACCTGATATCAATTTTGTAGGGTCAGCCATATGTGTAATTTTAATCGGAAAAAAATTCTATCACTGAATAATTTACAATAATATTCTTAAATTATATAAATATTTAAGGGCAATAAAGTCGATCAATGTTACGGAAATATTTTAATCGTTCAATATTTAGCATGAAATATTCGTGCTTTTATAATAATATAGATAGATAGATAAATATAGATTAGTTTTACTGTACTTAGGAAAAACTAACATATGAAATCTCTAAAAATATGAAAACATGTGTAAGCTTAACAAGAAATTAAAAAGAAAAATCACAGCACATGAACACACACAGTGGTACAGCATCTAGTTAGCAACTTGAGGATCATGGCCTTCTTAAATGAAAATACAGTTTTATAAACATGATGAGATAAAAGGTATATCTCTAAACTACCTATAGAACTTATAATTAATAAAACTTGAGTGAGCAAGGTTAATGAAGTTCATTCTCAGAATCCCTCCTCCCAAAATAGTTGTGAACTTCTGTTCTCTGTTGTTTCCAGCAGAGACTTAATGTCTATTTCATTACCTAAACTATTGAATTCTTGTGGTAATTCTGGTACAGAATATTCTTGCTGTCTAGAATCATAATTCACAGAATTCTCTAGTGGTGGCACAGATACTTCATCACCAAAAAGTATTGCAGAATAGTCCTCGAGATCCCCTGATGATTGCTGTGCTGAAAGCTGTTCTTGGGGTATGAAGCTGACGTGCATTTCTTGGCTTTGACATGATATTGTGTTCGCTGCATTATCAAATAGTAAAAGACGCTGTTGTTCTGAAATGCTGTTAGAAGGATGATTGAATATTGTAAAATTTTCAGGTGGAGCTGAAGAGCATTGAATTAAGGTATTTTCGTCAGGAATTTCCAAGAACGGTGGTGAAGGTTGCTGCTTGTGAATGTAGTCCTCTGACATTGAGGAACATAGACCAGAATACGCGGTATTATTGGATATTACAGCAGAAGATGAACCTTTTTGACCAAAGTTGACAGATTTCCCATCGTTGCTCAATCTAAAACCAATAAAATCCAATCTAGAATTTGAGTTTGTGGGCTGGTTTGCCTTGCCACTTTGTATGCTGAACAGCATGTTCTTTCTCTTGTCACTAAATACTCTGAAGTTACTATTATGAGCTACTCTTGGCAAAAATGTTGACTGCTGTCCAATTTGGCCACTATGATATTCTGGTTGTCGCGAGTTGGCAAAATCCAAGAAATCGTTCTGCTGCTGGAAACTGACCATATTGGGGAATGATACCATCTGTGGTTGTCTCGAGTTCATGCCACCAGTTCCCTGCTGAAAGTGTGTCTGAAATGGCTGTTGTGCAGAACAAGAATATCCTTGTGTTGCGTTAAAATTTAGAGAAGATAGGTATGGTTGAACTTGAAAGCATTTCTCTTTAGCATCATTTGTTAGGATTTGGTCATAGATAGAAGTAGCTGAACTTTCTTGAGCTCTTTTAAGGCACATGCGGTATTTCTGCAAATATGTACACTTTTTTGTTTAATAGCAATTAAAATTTAACCATGAAATATCACAATAATTTAATATATCATGATTTTGAGAATGAAAACATTCAACATTTGTGTGACAGACAAGCGCCAGGTTCTAGCTCTTAATGCAAAGATTTTGCTAGATATTAAATGCTATGATCATGTGCTTTCTAAAAATGGAGATTCGTGTATTAATCCCTGAGATTCTTGTAGTAATAGCACTTTAATGGTTCACATTTCCTTATTTTGGACAATTCCTAAAAAGGAAAAAAAAATGTAATCTCCACAAAGAAGAAGTAAATTTGCTTTCCGCCCCCTCATATCAGCCTAAGTAGGGGATGGCAAGCCTAGGAGGAAAAACTGGAGAAAAAGGAAAAGAAGTTAACAGAAAAGCATATCTGATGAAAATTTGATAAAGTGATGGTAAAGGGATTGAAAATCCTGCAGAAGATATAATATAAATGAAAACACACCTGCAAATGACTGGCAACATGTTCTCTAGTCAATCCAGTCTCATTCATAATTTCAACTATTTTCTTAGGAACTGCCTCTGCATATAAATTAAGAAAAAGAATCATCATCAAGTATTATCCATAGTGTCAAGTGTCAACTACATATTTAGAACAAAAAGAAATTAACTTTCAGGGAAAAGAGGGAGAGCAAATGTATTACTTTCATGCCCTAATTGCTGGATAGCTTGCAAGAAATTTTGATGCATCTTTGGAGTCCAAACCACCCTTCGTTTCTTTTCGATGTCTCTATTCTCTCCATTTTCTTCACTTCTGTCGCTGTAAGCTTTTCGCTTACCCTTCACATCATGAGCCCTTATTGCTGCATCATTATCAGCATATGATGTGTTTTCTGTACTCGTCTCAGTTACATTCTGAGGCAATCTTGTAGCATTGTCATAATTTTCTTCTTGATTGACTGCTGCTTTTCTAGCTTTCTCTTTCTCTAATGCCATTTGCCAAAGCTTGTTCATCTCATTTGTGTCTGAAACATTCACAACATATGCTGCAACACTACAATCTTGGACTTGATTTTCATATCTTGTATCATCTGGTGACATTACTGCGGGATGTATAAGTAAAATCTGATGAGGAAAACTAGACGACAACAAATTCTTTGGTATAAAAGATAAACTATAAAATACTTACAGATGGTTGGAAGATTGAGTTTGTTCTTGATAATTTGGAGAATGTCAACCCCATTTGTGTTTAGCCTGTGTATGTTTGTGAGGACAAGATTGAAGATGTTCTTTCTCTCCCAAATGGCATTTAAAGTATCCATTGTTTTTCCTACATGCAAAACTGATAAACAAAAGAACAAAAGTTCAAGTTAATAACTCTTCTTTGAACTAAGAAAAGAAGGTTCCAAAACTTTAGATACCTTCATAAGTTTGGTTGTGAAGCATATCAGAAACAATATTATGACAAGTAATATCATCAAGGACTAGAAGTATGCAAGTTCTTTTAGTTCCAATATCAGATGAATAAGGTGTAGATTCTCCAAGTGAATTGGCAGTAAATCCGTGGATGTCCATGTTTTTTTACAGAGATGTAAAATTAAGGAGGTTTCTGAGGAAGCTGTTTAATTTGGAGCTAAAGTGGCAATAGGGATATGATGTTGTAACTTGTAAGAGCACGGGAAACACAAACTATTTCCCTATAATGCTTTTATACTATTCTCCCCACCCCACCCCACTCCCCACCCAAACAAAAAGAAGGGAAAAAAGTAAAGTAAGAAAGAGAGAAGGAAGATTAAAAAATAACCTTTATGAAAGTTTATAAGGAAACAAGGATGAATAAAAATTTCACGAAATTACAACCAATGACCTTGAAAATAGAAGGTTATTTTGTAACCTCGCTTGCCCCATGGGCAAATCTTTAAGTCAGAAGTGTTGCTCATTGGCCAAGTAAGGTGCAATACTTGTTAAACTTAAAGTTCTGCCCAAGGGCTCAAAAATCAAGAGTGGCACCAAAGTGTCCTATTTGTGCAAATCACCCTAAAATTTTAAAAAGGTGAAATTGGAATTGTGTAGAATCCTTCTGTGATGACCCAAAAGATTATCTTTAAATTTAATAATTGATTTTGTGTTCTAAGACCTCAAAAAATATTATTCATCATTTCTCGACTTGTGTGCACAGTCCGTAAAATTTTCCGGAAAGTTTTTATATGAAAATTTGATTAAAATGTGAAATAGAGCCTTAAAACTCAATTGAGTTGACTTTGGTCAACATTTTGAGCAAACAGACTCGGATCAGTATTTTGACAGTTTCGGTATGTCCGTATTGTGATTTGGGACTTGGACGTATTCTCGGAATTTAATTTAGAAGTCCCTAGCTTGAATTATCGCCAGTTGGCGAAAACTAGAAGCCTAAAAGCTTAAAAATTTCAAAGTTTGACCACAAAATTGACTTTTATTGATATCGGGGTTGGATTCGAGTTCAGAAAATTTTTATAAGTCCGTTATGTCATTTATGACTTGTCTGTCAAATTTGGTGAGAAACGGAGTTGATTTGACATGATTCGGACGATCAGTTGTGAAAATAGAAGTTTTAAAGTTTTCTTAAAAAAATTATTTGATTTGGTGTCCGATTTGTAATTCTAGGTGTTAAATTGGTGTTTTGATCGCGCGCACGCATTCGTATGAGATTTTTGGACTTGTGTACATGTTTGGTTTGGAGCCCCGAGGGCTCGGGTGAGTTTCGGATAGCCTACGGACCATTTGAACTTTGAAAAAAATCTAGTTTTTAGCTTCAACTGTCATTTGGTGCATTGTCTTTTGCGATCGCGAAGCCATTCCCGCGATCGTGAAGAGGAAATTATGAGCCGTGAGTTTTACCCTTCGCGTTCGCGAAGATAGGCACGCGATCGCAGGAGGTTAGCTCCCAGTGCACTATGAACGCGAGGGCCAAGCCGCGTTCGCGTAGAAGGAATGAAGGCAGAAGCTGGGCATGTCATTTTTGCTACGCGATCGCACAAGTCAGTACGCGATAGCGTAAGGTTGAGAAAATGTTATCCGCGATCGCATGACCATTTATGCGATCGCCTAAAGTTAATAATCCGGGCAGCCAAAATATGCTTCGCGATCGCAAAGAGTTATTCGCGATCGCGAAGAGTAAAATGGACCTAGGCAGAAATTGTTCTACGCGATCGCGAACGAATTCCCGCGATCGCGATGAGTAAAAATCTAGGCAATAGAACTTAAGTTCTAGAAATGGGATTTCGTCCAATTTTCTACCATTTTCGATTTTGAGCTCGGGTAAGACGATTTTCGGACGATTTTCACGGAAAAACATTGGGGTAAGTATTCCTTATCCTATATTGATTATATTTCATGATTCCATATTGATTTACATTTTGAATCCGTGAATTTATGAAAGAAAATCAGATTTCTATCAAATCTTCCAAAAATGTAAAATGAAGATTCGAAAGCCAATCCGATGTCGGAATTTGATAATTTTTGTATGGTTGAACTCGTATCGGACTGGGTATTCAGATTTCGTAAGTTTTTTCGAGATTCGAGACGTGGGTCCTACTAATGAATTTTGAGATAATTTTCGGATTTTAATCCGAAAAATTAGTAAATTCATATAGAATTAATTTCTACGATTTGTATTGAATATATTACATTATTTATGACTAGATTTGAGGATTTCGGACACTAATTCGCGAGGCAAGGGTGTATTGGAAACTTGAATTTGGTTGCGAAGCGAGGTAAGTGTCGTGGTTAACCTTGACTTGAGGGAATAAAGCCCTTGAATTATTTGCTATGTGAATTTCATGTGTAACGATGTATAGGCAAGGTGACGGGTGCCTATACTTTGTCAAATTAATTGTTTGCTTAATTATTTAAACATCTTAAATTATTTTAAGACACGAATTAATCGTTATAATAATTGTTTCACTCATATTCTTTGTCAAATATTAATTGTTGAATTCCTGCAATAATTGTTACATGCTTATTTGATTTATGTGTCTTAATTGCTACTTGAAATTTAGCATATTAAATATTAAACTGCCTATTTTCTCCATGATTTCCACAATTAATTGCTACTTGTCATTGTTTGTTTCATAATTAAATTATAATTATTGTATGCCTTGATGTTTAATAGTTTCTCATTGAACGTGGTATTTATTGGAGTATTTCTATTACATTTAAGAGTTGTAAAAATATATATGGGGTATCGGGTTGCACGCCACAACAAATTTCTTTAAAGTTTATATGGGGGATGGGGGTGTACGCCGTAACAGATTTATTTAAAGTTTATATTGGGAGAACAGGTTGCACGCCGCAATGGAAACAAGTTGAGGGATTGTGACTGCTGAATTGACTTCAAGTATTGATATTATTTACTGGTTTTACTACTATTCCCGTTATTATTATTAATATTGTATACAGGTTAATGTAAGCAACCCGCCTTAGCCTCGCCACTACTTCGTCGAGGTTAAGCTCGGCACTTACCAGTACATGGGGTCGGTTGTACTGATACTACACTCTGCACTTCTTGTGCAGATTTCAGAGTTGGTCCCAGTGGCGTACTGTAGATTTTCCCGGATACAACTACCAGTGGAGATTTGAGGTATAACTGCACAGCGTTCGCAGTTCTGAAGTCCCCTTCTATATTATCTCAACTCTGTATTCTTTTTCAAACAACTTGAATTTTATTCATACCTTTATTTGTATTATTCTAGAAGCTCGTGCACTTGGGACTCCAGTTTTGGGATGGTATTTAGATATCACAATTATTATGGATTATTCACTTTATTTCAGACTTTATTTCCGCATTTGTTTTTTTGTTATTAATTAATTTAAAATTTTGTTAAAATGGCTAATTATATTCTAACGTTGCAATGCCTAGCAAGTGATATGTTAGGCGCCATCACGGTCCCGAAGGTGGGAATTTCGGGTCGTGACAGTTGGTATCAAAGCACTAGGTTACATAGGTCTCACGAGTCACGAGCAAACTAAGTAGTGTCTGAAGGATTGGTACGGAGACGTCTGTACTTATCTTTCAGAGGCTATGAAGTTTAGGAACAATATCACTTCTTTCTTATCCTGTCGTGCGATTTTTCTATCATCGATAATTGAACCATTCTATTCTTATTCTCTCGCAGATGGCGAGAACACGTAATACATCTATCGATGGACAGGGACCAGAGCCCCCGGTAGCAACTATGGCCAGGGGTAGAGGTCGAGGCCGAGGTCGTTCTAGAGGCCGAGGCAGAGGTAGAGCTTAGTCTAGAGCTCGAGCAGCCGCACCTGTTGTAGAACCTCAGGTGGATCTTCAGGAGGAGGTTCCAGTTCAGACTGTACCAGTTGGACCAGTTTAGGTCCCGAAAGGATTCATAGCTACTCCAGGTAGGGCTGCTTATCGGGCGGATTGGGCGGTTAATTACTCTTAACGGTTTGGCTTAACGGTTATCGGCTTTTAAATGTATTAATCCGCTAGCCACCCGATAAGATATCGGGCGGATTGGTATCGGTTTAGCTCTTATCGGGCAGTTATCGGGCGGTTTATCGGCCTAATTAAATCTATATTGCGTGCATTAATTGTTTGTTGACCGCCTAGCATACAAATTCATAATAGGAAATTACACATTGAGTCCCGACAAACATGTCTGCTAACGCCTACATAAGAATGATGTAGTGTGTCATGTGTTGTAGAGTAAAAAAAGTAGAACACATTATAGGCTAGATTACATCCCAAAGCAGACTACATATGAGTCCAGACATACATGTATGTTAACGCC